GTGTGGAATTCCCGCTCATTCTGGGTGTGGAATTCCAGCTCGTTCCCCATGTGGAATTCCAGGTGTGGGAATTCCCGCTCGTTCCTGATGTGGAAATTCCCGCTCATTCCCAGTGTGGAATTCCTGCTCGTTCCCGTGTGGAATTCCCAATGGGGGAATTCCCAGTGTAGAATTCCTGCTCGTTCCCCCTGTGGAATTCCCGATGTGGGAATTCCCGCTTGTTCCGGGTGTGGAATTCCTGCTCATTCCCAGTGTGGAATTCCCACTCTGTTCCCCATGAAGAATTCCCGCTCATTCTGGGTGTGGAATTCCAGGGAATTCCTGCTCGTTCCTGGTGTGGGAATTCCCACTTGTTCTCCATGTGGAATTTCCTGCTTGTTCTGGATGTGGAATTCCCGCTCATTTCCCATGAAGAATTCCCGCTCATTCCTGTGTGGAATTCCTGGTGTGGAATTCCTGCTCGTTCCCCCTGTGGAATTCCTTGGGGTGGAATTCCCGCTCGTTCCTGGTGCAGAATTCCTGGTGTGGGAATTCCCGCTTGGTTCCGGTGTGGGAATTCCCGGTGTGGGATTCCCGCTAGTTCCCGGTGCGGAATTCCCAGTATTCCCGGTATTCCCGGTGCGGAATTCCCGGTATTCCCGGTGTGGAATTCCCGGTATTCCCGGTATTCCCGGGGGTGCCGACGCCGTTTCTCTGATTTCCTTCCTCACAGAGGGGCCGGAGCCAGAGACCAAGGAAGGGTGAGTGGGATTTGGGGCGTTCCGTGGGATTTCCAGGGAATTCGGGAATTGTGGTGGGATTTGGGGCGTTCCGTGGGATTTCCAGGGAATTCGGGAATTCTGGCGGGATTTGGGGTGTTCCGTGGGATTTCCAGGGAATTCGGGAATTCTGGCGGGATTTGGGGCGTTCCATGGGATTTCCAGGGAATTTGGGAATTCTGGCGGGATTTGGGGCGTTCCGTGGGATTTCCAGGGAATTCGGGAATTCTGGCGGGATTTGGGGCGTTTAATGGGATTTCCAGGGAATTCGGGAATTCTGGCGGGATTTCAGGGAGTTTCCTGGCATTCTGGTGGGCTTCCCGAGGTTTTGGTGGGAATTCCAGGGGTTCTGGTGGGATTTTTGGGATCCGTCCCCTCCGTTTGGTGGCACAGCTGCTGCCGTGCCTCAGTTTCCCCCAACTTCTTTGCACTTCAGCGAGCTCCAAGCAGGAGAGCTCCGGGATTTTGGGATCTTTCCCATCATCCCTGAGCATCCTGGTGGGACATCCCTAAAAATCTGGGCTCACCCTGAATCCTGCGATCCCGAGGAGCAGATCAGGGGGGGAAATTCCTTACAAAAAATTCCTTATTTTGTCCCGACGTGGGAACGGGGGCGACAGCGGGGGGGAGCTTTGGGAGCCCCCGATCCCGAGGGATTTGCGCTCGATCCCGAGGGATTTTTCCCTGGAATGCTCCCGCAGGATCCTGCCGCAGGTGAGCAACGGCGAGGCCGGAGGAGATTCCCAGACCCGCGCCCGCACCTGGAAGAGGGAGAGCATCTGCCGAGGTGGGAAAAGCCGGGAAGGCTCCGGGAACGTTTCCGCTTCCCGCCGGGATCCTGGGCTGCTGATCTCGATCCCAATCCCCATCCCGGTTTTCCAGGGGAGCGTTTCTCCTTCCCGGAGGTGGGGGACGAGGTCATCTACGACGACGTTCCCTGCGAGGGCCTGGATGTGCACCAGGATGGTACGGGAGCGCTTTTCCAGCTTTTCCAGCTTTTCCAGCTTTTCCAGCT